GAGAGCTCTGCTTACCTATTGCTCATTCTGGATGACCACACGAGAACACTATGCCATTGTTACGGATCGAAAGTCAGCGGTCTGCTGCTAACCATTTATTAACTGGTTCCACAAAAATAACGAGAAATAAATTCTCTGCTCATTCAATAAGCGGTTAAGATAATTTTTCCGGATGTGAATTCACCATCTAGGAAATATGAAGCTGACCTGTTCCCACTGGGCCACTTTTCCCGCTGTACTTTTGCTTTCAGTTCTTTTGCTCTAAGACGCTGACTACCTCACTTCAAAGGAATCCTTTTCTTTGGAAATGGACCCTACTCCATCTTATTACTCTCTGTTGCATGCTAGCCACTTCGTCAACTTCTGGCATGTTTCGGTACTCATACTTGAAGCTGGCGGACGCGAGAGAAAAATTTTTGTTCCCTCAATTTTACTGACACCCTGGCCTTCTGCTTTTTATTTATAAGCTCACTGAGGATCCCAGTGTCTGTAATGAAATACAGTCGTTTTTAAGTAATTATTATTAATATTCAACCCTCATTGTCCGCAGTTTACGGTTGTGCATCTTTGCACTGTTCACTGACGGTGTGCCGTACAACTGCTGCAGAGCTGATTGTCAGCCTGGTAATAATGATTTATTTCATCCGCTGTATTTTTGCACCGAATGCCTCCGCACCAACAGACGGTAGTACCGAACCGCGATTGCCCCCGTGTGACTGGAATTCAACACCACTTTGTAATGGAAACAACCGTGATACATAAACCGGCTGGGCCAGAACGTTCGTGGCGTCAAGAAAACAGGCACGTTTGGACTTCAGTCTTATCGTTAACCTGTTCACACCTGCGTTGCATCAACGGATGGTGCCTTGCGCCGCAGCTATTAAACAATTTTGCAATATTTGGAGCACGTCGACAACAAACTTACTTTTCATTAGGGACAAAACTTCAACGTGTTGCTCCACTTTGGGTTTCATAAAGACATCTGCAAACTATCAAAGGGGTCATCTGCGAAGTGAATGTTTGATTTCGCGCAATTACGTCTTTAAAGTTTCAATGTTGATGTCACGAGGTCAATTCGACAACATTTGAACTTACTACCTACATTGAATTACATGTGTTGCTTGCCATTTTCTCATTCCGTATTGTGCCAAACAAGCAAATATGAATGTTATCATGCATATCAAACGATGAGGACGTTAATGCACACACTTTTGGTACGCCATTACGTCACTTCCTCGGTTTTGGCCATCTTGACAATGCGAATGATGTCATTTCGTTTGAATCCCTTCCCCATGAATCGCCACGCTACTGTCGTTGAAAGTTATTTAGCTGTTCTTTTTGTTCACGGATGAATGTAAACTGTAGTCATAAATCCACTTCCTTCCTAGCGTAAAGATCTGACACTGGTTTTTGCAAAGTTGCACCGCAAGGAAATCATACATCAGATACATATTATTGCATCACATTTTCCATTCATATTTCTCAGGAGTATGTCGGAATATCTCAGGTGGTGCTGCATTATGTTCTTGCTCAGCCCATCAAAGTGATATGGTTTAGCTGCATGTACAGCAGATACTATGATATGCCGTAATTCCATGGAACCTTGTTGAAGGGACCTACGGAAGAAGGAAACGATGCTCTCGCACGGTGCAAATCCATGAAGACGAGAGGTACTAATAAATATAGGTTTAGAAAGGATTTACGCATGCACGATTCCTGCCCAACTCGAAGTGAGAACGTACAAAGTTCTTGTATCCTATGACGATAAATCAATAGGCACGTGAAAGCAAAGAAATTGTGACTACGTTGTGTGACTGGAAAGGCTATACGTATTATAGAATGATTTTTATTTATTGTTTAAACGGTTTAGAACCGGTCGAGCATGCACCATCCTGTGAAATCCAGAATGCGATCCAGAACGATGTTGAATCTCCTTGTGATAGATTATCTGAAGAACGAAGTAAGCGCGGTGCATCTAGTCTC